GCGGCCGCCTCCGTCCCGCTCCATAAAGCCACGGCCTGAATTGTCAAGCGAGTGCCAGCTCTTGTCACACACCATCCGAAAAAGCAAAAAAGAGTTGCCTGCCCCTTAATAGCACCTAATTGATCCCTCCATCAGGCAGCAATAAAGCGGCGCATCTCACCCAGCGCAGCGGATTGGCATTTCCACAGCCGCCGTGCAGCCCCGACGCTTACAAGAAAAAATAAATGGATTATGAAAAATATTTGTCCCCTCATTCCCTAAAAAGCCTTACGGAATGTTTTTTGGGTTTGTTTTATTTTGAGCGATATGTTCACACACTGCTTCTCCAAACAATCTGTCCCGCTCTGGTTTTACTTAACGCCGCGTTACAGTTGCTCTCCGGGCAGTTCTCTTCCCTTCCACCCTTCCGACAGGATATACCCGTAAAACACAAAAAAAACTCATTTATTCACCTAAATTTTCTAAATTGTTTCATTTCAGAGGTTTACAAACGAGGACCACCTGGCGGTTCATAAACACAAGCATGAGATGACATTGAAATTCGGCCCTGCTCGGACTGACTCAGTCATCATCGCAGGTATGTGCCCGTTCAACCCAGGCCAGCTCTGGAAATGCTGCGCATTAATACAGCGTGACTGCAAGATTAATACCAGGGACCAGATGCACTGAAAAACATCTCTACCTCCCATAAAAAGCTCTTGTGATCTGCATTTAATCAAGAGGAAAGGAAAGCCAGAGGCTTCCAAGTTTCTTTTTTTTTTTTTATTATTTTTTATGGTAGTATCAGGTTTTGTCGGGGTTTGGGTTTGGTTGGTTTTTTTTTTAGCTCTCACCCTTTTTATTAAGACTGGAAGATTTATGGCCAAAAGGTCTTTCACGTTTCTGTGTGTGCTTTGAGGACGATGAACAAAATCTGACAAACCCAGCTTCCTCTCCTCAGCCCAGGTGTCAATTTTCTGGAGCTTTTTAGGCTAGCAGTTAATAAATTAAAACACCATCGAACACACTGGCTACTGCCGAGAGCGCGTTCACAGAGCTGGAGTGAGACGATCTGGCAGCTCACGGTCGATGCAGCCTTCATAAGATGGGGGGAAAAAAATAAATACATGTATATTGTTGTCTGGCAGCAGATCCCTGCTGGTTATAGATATTCTCCTTGCCTTGTTGTCCTGGTTTTTGTAGTTAAACCATCACACTTGTCAGTCCCCTTTTATTTGGGCTTCTTAAAAAAAAAAGGGCGTGAGGTTTGCGTTAGCGTTGGGTGAAAAGACTGAGAGTGGGAAGAGAAGAGGAAATTCTTTCTGAAACCTTGAGAGTTCATAAAAGGGAAACGAAGCATCTGCTGCGAAAACCTGGCGCCCTTTTCCCAGGTTCATTTCCAGCCCAAATTCGATGCTGAAGTAGGAAATTGCAATTCTCTTGGTTTCTTAAAGCCTTGGAGTTAATTGTAGCTGCGGGTAGGATCGTAAGAGCTCGCGCAGCCTTTGCTGGAAGCAAAAAGCTTCTCCCAGGGGAGGACTCGCGGAGATGAAACGGGCTCCCAGCGGGAGAATTCATTTCAAATGGGATCAGGCTAATGGGAGTGAAGAATTTGGGGCAAGGGCTGAAAAAAAACCCCCTCAAAAATGGGATCAGGCTAATGGGAGTGAAGAATTTGGGGCAAGGGCTGAAAAAAAATCCCCTCAAAAATGGGATCAGGCTAATGGGAGTGAAGAGTTTGGGGCAAGGGCTGAAAAAAAAACCCCTCAAAAATGGGATCAGGCTAATGGGAGTGAAGAATTTGGGGCAAGGGATGAAAAAAACTCCCTCAAATTCCTAAAGTAAGGTTGTTTTTCCTTCAGTTCACCCCCTTTCTGAACAGGGTGCGCAGCAGGAGGGTTTATCAAGCAAAAGCTTGGTGGAAATTGGCCAAGTGGTGATGGGGGAGCAGAAATAGGGTACGGTCCTACCTGCAGCTGAAGTCCCACCTGCTCTGACAGGGATGCAGCATTAAAAACCCTCATCTGTGCTGCTCCCAGAGGCCTCGGTTCCTCCTGCGCTCAAATTCTCACGGGTAAAACTGTGGATGGGGTGAAACACTTGAGTTTTAGCACGAGGAACAACAGTGAGGGTGGGTCTAGCAACCCTCTCCCAGCTCCTATGGACTGATGCTCAGTGGGTTGCTCTGGGGTAAAAAACAAAGCAAAAAAAAAACAAACAAACAAACAAAAAAACCCCAACAGCCCCCAAACTCCTTTAGCTGAGGTCAGTGCCAGAGCAGCCTATTTAACACCGACTTTCCCCAGCTGAGATCTTGATGGCAGCTAGAGCTGCTGGGGTGTTTGTGAGGGCTATAAAGAACGTGGGCTTTGAGCAGTGAGATCTAGGGCGTTATTACCCTACATTCCTAATGTCCTTTTATTATTTCATTTATTTATTTATATATTTTTTAAGCCACCATTTTGTCTCTGGCTTTTCCTCCCTCCCTCTTGCTTTGTGCTGAGTCCAGGGCAGCAGCCTGTGAAGGAGCAGGAGGATTCAGCCTACATCTCTTACCATCACTCCGATGTTAAGCTAAAGAGAGTCATAAAGAATTGTTCTCTCTCTCTCTGCCGGTTATAGCTGGCAGCAGAGAGACTTATTTAAATGGGAACCTGCGATTCTGGGGTGATGCTGTGGGTGGAAGAGCTGCTGCAATTCCTGGAGGTACAAACTGGGGAAGGGTAGGATGAGAGAGGTTATATGGCTTTGCTTTGTGGCTTTGTGAAAACTTCTGCTGGAGCTTTGGTCCCCGGGCTGGCTTAGAAGGATGTTGCTAAATGGGGAACGGTCCGAAAAGAGCCCTGGGAGTCATTAAAACCCCTGGAAAAACAGCTT